GTAAAGCTATGACACAAAAGTGGACAAACAAATCAAATTGTTAACATTTACTTTAATGAAATTAATAAATCATGCTCTAACGATACGGGAAAATAACATTAAATAAAAAACTTATCTTCAAAGTAGTGATATTGTCAAACATATACAATGTTTAATAAACCATCAAAAGACCATCAGGCAAAAAGGATTCAAAGTATAAAAAAAAAATAATAATCAAGCAAAAAGGATTCAAAGTGCTAAGGTAAGAAATTGAAGTATTTTATTAAATATAATTTGTACAAAGCTCAGATAAATTTGAAAGAAACTATCAAACAAAACTAAATGATAATTGATATAACATGATTTGGCTTAAGGCAAAAAAAAATCTTTTAGCTTTTAAAAATTTTAGCTTATCAAACAATTAAACGAATAAAAATCTATATTTCTCTTTTAGGGCATATTCGATAGCCCATATAGCAATATATTACAACAAACTTCGTGGAATAATAATCTTAAACTTTTTGTTCATTTGCGAATTTCACCTTGACCCTATAGAACTACACAAACGACTCAAAAGATCAAAGGAAAAAAAAAAAACATGAAAAAGCTGAAAATGATATTAATGATGACGATCCATGATCTAAGCTTCGTAAATATGTGTAAGCCCTGTTCATTTCGCTGATTCGAGTTTTGCTATAGTAAAAAGCTCTCAGAAACAATCACATCTAACTTTTTTACTACAGTAAAAAGCTCTCACACAAAATCACATCTCAACTCGAATTACAAACTCGAATCAGCGAAGTGAACGGACCCGTAAAGATGTAGAATAAAAGTATGATCAGGTGTCAAAACAATATATGAACCATGTGGATTAGTGTGAGTCATTGTATTAAACTAATTTGAGCCATTGGATTAATAGATAAGTATACATATAGAATTGTGTGACCTAAAAATTAAAACCATGTATACAAGATTAGCATCACCTCTGCACAAGATGATTCGCACAAATCGAGAAATAAACATATGATATAAAAATGTTCATTTTAATTATCTGTTGAGAGATATATATATTTTTTTCAAAATTCAGTGTTAGTATTTTTTTTTTTTTTTGAGACATCGTAGTAGGTAATATTTGACCCTTACCTGTACTCCAACTATTTCAAAGTTGCCAACGATATTATGCTGAAACATAATCGGGACACTTGGAATATGAAAGGTCTAATCACAACTTTTTCAATATTGGGACTTTTAACTCATTTTGTTGCACCATTCGTTATTTAGGAGTTCTGGTGGAGACAGAATGAAGTGTTTATTTATTTATTTTATTATCATTACTGTTTTTTAGATCCGTTTAATTCGCCGATTCGAGTTTAGAATTTGAGTTTAAATAAAATTTTATGTGAAAATTTTTTACTGTAGTAAAAAAATTAAATGTAACTGTTTATAAGAGTTTTTTACTGTAATAAAATTTAAATTATACACTCAAATCAGCAAAATAAATAGGACGAGTTTTACTTGTTCTTTCTTTCTTCTTTTTATTTTTTTATTTTTTTTTTCCTTTTTTGGTATGAAAGTTAACTTGTAAACAAAAGAAAAAGTACAGTACACTTGCCACATTCAGATCAAAACCCAATCGGGGTTTAACAGCGCCCACTCCAAAGTTGGCGACATGATCTTTATGACATGTGAGGTTGCTATTTGTGAATCTTCACATTTGGCCGCCACACACTTGAGATGATCTTTCTCGGTGTTTGTATTTTTTTTATTAGAAATATTCCCCTTTTCACTAAAAAAAAAAAAAAAAAAACTTAAAAGATTAGAGAATTAATAAAACATGGTAAACAATAAAAGTGTTATTATTATTTTTTTTTTTTGCGGAAAATATATTAGATTAAATGAGTACGTGCTAGTTTAGGGCCCGTTTAGTTTGCTGATTTGAGTTTTTAATTTGAGTTGAGATGTGACTTTATGTGAGAGTTTTTTATTGTAGTAAAAAAGTTAGATGTGATTGTTTGTGAGAGTTTTTTACTGTAACAAAACTCAAATTCTAAACTTGAATCAACGAAATGAACGGGGCCTTAGTATATTTGAAACTTAAGTTGAGAATAATGTTGCGCTATTTAGCAGGTTTTTGCTGCTTTGCTAAACATAGAAAGCATCTTTATCTTTTTTTATTTTGTCAAAATAAAGCATCTTTTAAGTAGTTGAGGAACAATAATTTAATCACTATGAAAAACTTTTTCCTTTGAAAAATACTTAACAAATAAATAGAGAAATTAGAGATATTGAAAAACACATAAGAGAAAATTATTGAGCTTACTTTTAGAGTGTATGAGTCTAGATTTTTATTCTTTACTCATGATTAATACTCTTTTGATTGATATAGTTATTTGACTAAAAAGATATTAACCAAGAGTAACGATTAAAAATTTAAACCTATACACTCTAAGGAGTATTTGCCTACTTTCCTCAAAACAGGAAAACATAATCAAACATAGTCATTACATCGATAAGTTATAAGTTGCTAATTATTTGCAAACGGCGCTATCCAAAATAATAAAATTAATAATTATAAGGCCGTGTTTCTTTAAGTCAGAACTTAAATTTACTACTAAATTAGTAAGATTATGAAATGAAACATGGATAGCGTGATAGATGTAAATTTCACTGATTTCAGTAATGATTTGTAGCTAATTCCTATTAAGATAACTGGGTTCCTTGCCATTGGTATAAAATTGTAATATATGCATTCATATTCCTGAATTAGGAGTACTTCTATTTCAAAAGTAACTATTATTATTCCCCTAAGAAAAGTGATTATTATATATATTTGTCATTTCAGTATGTGAAATTCCTTCCATGCCCAATTTTTTAGGGTTACTGACACAGTTAGTTCATAAACTTTAGGCATAACACTCCGCTTAGTAGGAGGGAAAGAAAAGAGAATGAAAAGAAAACACATAAAAGAAAGAAAATGTGAAGGAAATGAATGAAGTTGATTTTCCTTTATAATGTTTGGTATAATGAGAGGAAAGAAAATATGTAATAACCTAAATAACTATTTTATCAATTGTTTAATATTAATTTAGATTTTAAAATAGGGACACAAAAGTAAATTTAGCCATCAATGAGTGGATTTGAGTTTTTTTTTCCAATGTTGGAGAGATAAAAAATAGTGACTACACAATAATTCTTTTCCATCCTGTTTTCCTTTCTCTCATCTCTTCCTTCTTACCAAACAACCAACTCTATCATTTTCTATCCAATAATCCCTCTACCTACTTCATTCTTTCAACTTTTCCATCATACCAAACACACTCTTTTAGAGTTTTTGATCCCTAAAATTTTGGACTCTAAAAGTTTAATTTTGACATTGTAATATGTGAACTTTAGATTTTTTGACAGTTTTTACTCCCTAAAATTTTTAAATAAATAATTACGGTAAGTGCAAAATGTTATAATTTTAAATGATTTTCATAGTAACAAAAAGAAAATTTTATATATAACTCAAGTGTTTTTATAAAATTTTATATTATCACGCGCATAGACACTTTATTATATTAGTGAAATTTTGGGAATTGTTCTTACAATTTTATCGCTAAGTGCCAAAAATGAAAATTTAGGAACTAAAATGTAATTGTACTTATAGTTTAGGGACTAATATTTTCAATTATTTTTATTATTTCTTTTTAAAATAGAACTCCATGTCCATGATTTTAGTAAAGGAAACTGAAAACTTACTGCACCCAACAGTTATGCATGGCCGAAAAAGAAAAAAGAACCTTCTCTATCTTCTACTGTAGCATTTTCTCCCCCAATAATGCAAGCACCCTCCAATTATTAGCACCAACTTTTTGTAGGTTTTCCTTTTTCACTCAACTTTATGAACAATAAAACAAAATGGTATTACTCTATTCTGATCTTTCTCTGGAGTTCTGTTCTCTCTCTCTCTCTCTCCCTCTCTCTTTAGCTCTAAATTATTGTTCTCTTTGCTGAAAATTGTTATCAAACACTACAAAACCTTGAGGTATTTAGAACTTATAAAGTTTATAATAGTGATTTTTGTGTTAAAAGTGAAACCAAGATGTTTGGCATTGAGTTTCTAACTGTGCGTGTGAGGATTATATACTACTAAACCATTTATAATGACCAACCAAATCTAAATCTTTAAAATATTATGGCCCATTCATTTCACGTGTCGAGTTTAAAATTTAAATTTTGTTACAGTAAAAAATTTTAAAAAACAGATACATTTAACTTTTTTACTATAATAAATTTTTTTACATAAAATTACATTTTAATTTAAATTAAAAATTTAAATCAACAAACTAAATAAACCTTACGTATATCTAACAAGACGCTAATAAAAATTCATTTTGCAGCAGAAGTATGTCTCAAATCAGAATAATGTTGGGCCATTACAGAAATAACAAAAGAAAAACTAAACTAATTCGAAAGACTTCTCACATTTATTTTTTGTTTATTTTTTTGCAGCGAAACAACAATATCAACCAATACCATTTCCTTATTTTTCTGTCAAGGTTCATTTGGACCCATCTTGTATTAAATTACCAAAATACCCCTCACTTATTCTCTCATAAGAACAAACTGGCCAATCACAGGCTGTCCATTTCAACATGATTTTTTGGTTGGGGTTAAGCATCTCTTTCTCTCTTCTCTCTTCTCTCTCTCTCTCTATCCACTGCGCCCACAAACACCATGCCCACCAATCACAACTCAACAGCTTTTGACCCTTCTCTTTCATTCTCTCTCTAACCCATCTTCTGCTTTGCTGTTGCATTGTTCCTGTTCCATAGATAGATCCCTGTCTTGCAAGTACAAAGCCCGGTCTCACAACATTTTGTTTTCAGTTTATTTTACCCCTCTCTCTCTCTCTCTCTCTCTCTCTCTCTCTCTCTCTCTCTCTCTCCCCTACTTTTTCTTTAATGAAAAACCACCAAAACCTTCCTACTTCAACAAGCCAACTCTTTTGTTTTTTTTTTGGTTTTTCCTCTATCGTTTCCTTTCACGGGTTTTCAGAATCTTTTCCTTTTATGTATAAGGAAGCTCTGAATTCACAGTACCTGATCTGGGTTTCTCTTCTTATGTTCTACTTATCCTTTGGTTTGTGAGCTTTTGGATCTGAATATGAATGGTCTAGGGTTTATCATTTAAAAAATACAATCCAAGATCTGCTCTTTTTTTTTTGCCAACTTTGCTTCTCGAATTTTCCTTGGGTTTTGGAAAGTTGAGAACTTTTCTTGATTCCCTTATGCTTATTTGAAAAGGGCTGTTGGATTCCATTCAAATGCCTTTTAATCAATCCATGACTTTCTTTTGCTCATAATAAAACCTCCAAAAACAAAGCTCCCTCTGCATTTCCCTTCTGGGTTTTCTCTCTCTTTGAAAGTTTCAGTTCAGAGAGAGAGAGAGAGAGAGTCATATCATCATATACATTTGGAACAAACCCCATAGATTTAAAAAAAGAAAGAAAAAGAAACCATGTACAGAGGAATTGGGATTCTCTCGCCTGCCACATATCTTGAGAAGTCGAATTGGCTGTTTCAGGAGAGCAGAGAAGCTAAATGGACAGCTGAAGAGAACAAACAGTTTGAGAATGCACTTGCTCTTTACGACAAGGACACCCCGGATCGATGGGTGAAAGTGGCCGCCATGATTCCTGGAAAGACGGTTGGAGATGTGATGAAACAGTACAGGGAATTGGAAGAGGATGTCAGTGATATTGAGGCTGGTTTGATCCCAATCCCTGGCTATTCCTCAAACTCCTTCACATTGGAGTGGGTTAATGACAACAACTACAACAACAATTACTACAATCAGGGCTTTGATGGCTTCAAACAGTTTTACTGTGCTGGTGGCAAGAGAGGGACTTCCACAAGACCTTCTGATCAGGAGAGGAAAAAAGGTGTCCCATGGACTGAAGAAGAGCACAGGTATATTTGTTTCAGTTGCTCTTTTTTTATTTATTTATTTTTTTTTAACACTTGTTGTGCTTCTTAATGTTTTTGTGTTATATATAATTTAGTCTTGATAATGTTAAAATTACTTGAAACACAGTAAAGCTTGAATCTCTCTTTGGTTGATAGCCTGGAATTCTGATTGGTGAAAGTGGAAATCTAGTTATTTTTTATGATCTTAGTGAGTACTTTTGATATATAAATGAACGATTCATGTATGGTCTTGGGTGAAAAAATAATTAAAAAAAAAACATTGCTTTACTATTCATGTTGTTTTAGAGGCTTATTTCCTTGATGGGTGAAACTGCAGACAATTTCTGCTGGGACTTAAGAAGTATGGAAAAGGTGACTGGAGAAACATCTCTCGCAATTTCGTGACCACGAGGACTCCAACTCAGGTCGCGAGTCATGCTCAGAAATACTTCATCAGACAACTCGCAGGAGGCAAAGATAAGAGGAGATCAAGCATCCATGACATCACAACTGTCAATATTCCGGACTCTAAATCTCCTTCGCCTGATGATAAAACACAATCTTCACCAGATCACTCTGCGACAATTATGCAGCCTACGCAGCAGCATCCGAAAATCACTGCCATGGTTAAGCAGCAGTATGACTGGCAACCATCAAACGAAGGCTTGCCATTGGTTTTCAATCCAACTAACGGAAATGCTCTCCTCGGACGACCCTTTTGCGGGTTTGCTTCCTATGGATCTAAGCTGCAAGAGCAGAATTTTCTAAGTGGAAGTCTCCGTGGATCGCAGTTCGGGCCTTACAGTAGTGCACTTTATCAGATGCAATCCATGCATCATCAGTGAAAACAAATTCATGGAGTGGAGTTTTTTTAAGTTCTGAAGATATTTTAGTCCCATAAAATTGTCCCTCACTATCCGTACCATATTGTGGTTTATGTGAATATATTGATGAGGACATTGAATTGGTCCTTCTAGCAATTAGGCTCTATCTAGAGATCTGTTAGTTCACATTCTGATTTCGTATTCAAATTCTGAACCATTAAAACCATAAAAGTGAAATCCTATTTAAAGTGAAGCTTAAGCTTTTTTTACTATTCATGTTCTCTGCTTCTACTGCAATGGAATGAGTACAGTCGAAGAAAGTATTTGGGATTGAATTTGCTCCTGCAGTACAACAAGTTCTGTTCTGAAAAAGGTTGTCTACAAATGACTTTGAAATTTCTCAAAATAATAGAATAAGTAAATAAAGGTTTTAATTTACTGGTTTAGAAATGTTTGATGATCGCCCCATTTGATTGGTCACGAAGCATTTGAAACATATTCTTTTGAACTTTTTGTCCATGTCCAAAGGAGTCTTCGCAATAAAAATCATTTTTCTTTTCTTCCCTAACGATTAAGTGTCTCGTTTACTTAAGACGTAGGTATCTTCTTTGCGTTCCACAAATCGAAGTGCAATTTTCTGAATGGCAACATAAGTTAATTTGTATAGTCTAAAACAGTATGATGCATGATTTTGCCCGCCTTGTCATCACATGCTGAGTCACAATGCATTTCTTCAAATTCGCTACAATTTTTAATCCAGTCCAGTTTCCTTTTTCCTAATTTGCTTCGATCGTCTTTGACAACCTAATCTTGACCCGATCCTGTAGAGATGTCAAACGTGTTGTGCCGGGCCCCGGCACGCTTGACCCCAGGCCCATTACGAGCCTGGGCCGTGCCTGGGCCGGGTCTGAGAAGAAAAACTCAGGCCCGGTCCAGGCCCTTAGCCCTAGTTTATAAGGGCCAGGGCCGGGCCTGGGCCCAAGCCCTTCACGGGCTGACCCTGGCCCTTGTATTTTTTTTTAAAATTTAATTAAAAAAATATATCATATGCCCTAAAAGATGTGATTTTATTGAATTGACGTAATAAGAGTACACATAAATGACTGCCTCGTTAAAAACCTTGCTAAGTAAAACCCGTGGGGAGATCGGAACAAAACCTTAGCGAAGGAAAAAAGAGTGCAGTAGCTAGGAATAGTAAATTACAAACCTAAGTGCTTCCAGAAGATTCTGTTATTTATAAGTTAGAAAAATATTCTTGGATCGAATCATCTGTGTATTGTTGTTTTCGTCTTCTGACATCTTCCCAGTCTTTAATGCACATTAGTCCCTCCAAGATATCTGGATGCATTTTGCTTCTCTTCTTGTCAAGAATTCGGTTGCTTGCGCTAAAAGCTTGCTCCGATGTTACCGTTGACACTAGAGTTGTAAGAATGTCACGAGCTATTTTGGACAGTGTTGGAAAACGATCGGTCTTGCTCTTCCGCCACTGTAAGATGTCTAGTTTGTCATCATCGATTACAAAATTTGCTTCAAAATATTTGACTAGTTCCGTAGACGCTTGTGTTGAGGACGATCTTGTCGTTTTCTCTTTCTTCTTCAAGAAACTCCATGACGATCCTTTAGGCCCCGAACTGGTAGT